GTGATCCATGGCACAGGTTGGACTTGGCATTGCCGGTGATTCTGTTAAGGTTTTTAAAGATTATAATGTCTCTACTAAAGCTGTTGAAGATCTTAAATATCTAGCTAAACGAAAGCTTGGTGGAGGTCTGCAGAACTGGGGCCTTGCATCTCTTACTGAGAAGCTTATTTGCAAACAGGTAATCTTTTTGTTTTTCTCTGCCTTCCACTATTCTTTGTTGCTTCTATTTACTACTGGTTCTAGGAAATCTCAGCAAAACTACTGAAGAGAAGGAATCCCAGTAGTGTCTGCTCTGCCTAAACAATTGTCTGTTACTGGATCTGTCTATTAGCCTGAATTGTGCTGGATTGTAACCACTGGGATTTGACCAGTAACCTAATTAGCAGTTTTTGTAGCTTGGTTCATAAGTTTAGGTAGAAATTCCTGTTAATGTTTTCAAAACATTGCAGCTTTTGAAGCCCAACAAAATTAGATTGGGAAACTGGGAGGCCAAGTTTTTATCAAAGGAGCAGTTGGAGTATGCTGCTATTGATGCATTCACATCATGGCATCTGTATGAGGTTAGTTAATTATCAAAACTTAAAATCTTCTTTATCTGTGATTAATTAGAGGCTGTCACCATAAGGATAACTAATGATATTCTCTCATTTTAGGTGTTAAGGAGCCTCCCTGATGCCGAAAAAGTTACACCTGACAATCAGAGTGAGGAACTGCAAGCTTTATCATTGTAACAAAGTTCAGAGGGAGAACCCACAAGCTGTACATTGTAATGAATTTCTCTTGTAACATCAGGATTAAATTATAAAAGAAAGCATAATCATATTTTACCCCCTTGTTTATCGTCCTGTTAGCCTCTGCAGCCTTGCCCTTGATATTCTCAGGACTAGAGGGGTTCATCATGCTGAGATGTTGTCCAGATGCAGAAGATCATGTTGGTTTCATGTATGGGGTTCAGGTTTATGCCATCTTCTTAAATAATTTTTCAGAAGTACGTTATGGTGTTATTCTTTTTCCAATTAAATTCTGAGATGAGCAGTATTGACCCTTTGTATTGAAGCAATTTTTAGATTCCCTCTGTGTGGACTCTTGTATTATAGATTTGGGCTTCGAGGCAACTTTAGACCTTTAAGAGAATGGGCTTCAAGTTATGGTTGGGCTATAGTACGCATAACATCCCTGCAATTGGAAGTCTGAGCTACTTGCCTGTTGATCTTCAACTCCTTTCACTCTTCCCGTTGTGAAGAGCTCATGGGTAAACGACTTGTAAGGAAATGGTACCCAAGAGCTCGTAAAGATATGATATTTTTCCAATGTGAAATCTTGAATCCTGACACTCTCGCCTCTATTTTTAATTCACGCCCAGATGCGCCATCTTCCAGTACAAATAAAAGGAGTTTCAATTAGTTTTGCATACATTTGACAATGTAGTTGAATTTTTTTTAGAAAACCCTATCAGTTTTTTAGATACCACTTCGTGTTAATGAAACTAATTGCCTTTATAATAACATCAAATCAAAGTGATAGTGAACCCTCGACAACCATAATGCCACAGAAAAAGTGAATTTGTTCAAGGATAAGGACTAGACAAGTGAAAGCAAAAGTTATGAGGCCTTAATCTACTTTAATAATTTTCCAAACCAAATAACTATCCTCAAGTGTAAGGATTCTCTGCACCCAATGGATGATCCCCCAAATATGCAAAAAGGTTGTCATGAATTCACCACAAAAGTAGTCTTGTCTACTATCTCAAGGCCAAGATATATTTTAAAAGTGATTCACCTTCAAACGATCTAGCTCTAGAAATGTCCAACGAGTTCACTAGTCTACTACTTCTATGATTCTTCTACTGGCTGATTAGGTTTATCTATCTGGGATCAAGAAAGCTCTTCCTAACTCCTACAAAAATGCCATCAAGACGAAGATCCTAATTTTATTGGTCGTAAATGTGTCGGTGGCTGTTAGCCGTTGATGTTATACAAGTGGGCTATTCTCTTTAGCATCATTCTTAAATTCTTTGAATTCAACCACAATAGATAAGAGGTATGCCAAAGTAGTAAACAAAAAGCAAGGCCCTATCTCTACGCGTACTAGCTAGCCTGTAGTTAAGGGAATTATAATAACCCCTCATTAGAGGCAATGGACTCAATATTGGACATTGGGTTGCTGTTGGATGCCGTGACCTGGTATCACGACCAAAGCTGGCTTGACCATGATGGGTTAAAATTTGTCCAAAACTAAAGATGAGAGCTGACAGGAATTGCTCAGTTAGGCATAGAACTGTGCTGCGAATGCCTTGGCTGCTAAGAGTTTTGACAAGGTGCCAACCTTCCTTGTGGATATTCTCGCTGCTGATGCCTGTGGTGTTTCCAGGCCCCGTTTCTTTAGTGCTTAGTTGTTTTCTTTTTGTGTTTGGGCGTTAGCCCCCTTTGTTACCCAAAAAAACCAATGTTCGAGCTTAAGTCTGCTCTAGTCTATAGCCTTCTGTATAGCTTCGCTCTCGCGTCTAGTTGGTCTGTAAAGGAGAAAATCTTACATGCATTCGGGTGTATTATCTTTTCTTTCTATAACACTTATCACGTGACCTCGTCGTCATATAACAAAGTACTCTAAGAAAAGAGAGATATACACACACCTCGGACATTTTTCTATCGATTTCTCGTAGTTGGATGTCTTGGGGTGATTACATTACATGGCATCAACCGTTGAAAGGTTAGGAAAAATTTCATCTTGACAGTGCCCATGGAACATATATGTCAATCAAGGAACTGAAACATTTATATATTTATAAAAACATTCATTTATATATAAAAATTAATCATGTTATCCTATATATATTAACGAGTAAAATAATTGGAAGCAACTTACCCATATATGCAAAGGCTAGCTATTGCCCCGCATGTTCAAAAGAAATTTTGTTGGGTAGGATTATATCTCAGCCGTGTAATAATACTAATTCCCGTTTTTATAAGATGAGTGGACGACAAACTTATATTTTAGGATATAATATTAATAAACAGAACACGTATTATAACGTAGTAAATCAGTAACACGACAGCCACACAAAAAGAATTAAGTCTTAATCATTCTTTTTCTTTCTGGCACTTGAATCTTAATCATTGTAAGTAAATGATAGGACGCCTGCTAGTTAATCACACTTAATAACCAAGACGTGTGCAATTATATAAAGATGTATAATTCCAACGGATTGATCCAAATAGTAAACTTTGTCATCTGGTTAGATTTGTCCCATCGAAAACACGTACACCATGTTCATATATGTAAATTTTCAATGTGCTCTGGTGGTGGCCCCATGCTTTATCGTCTGAAGCTCACTAATTTCCAATTTGAATGCGATGGAAGAAAGATACAAAGTGATGAGCCTCCATGCATGTGCTGCGTGGGCCTAACCCTTTCATTTCATGGCACCTCTCTCTCTCTCTCTCTCTCTCTCTCTCTCTCTCAATTAATATTGGCCATGCATGCCATGTGCCACTGTGGCAAGCTACCAACGGTGACGTGCACTGAATCGTAAAGTGCAAGGGACAGTGACAAATTAAGAAAACCTAAGAGATTATAAAAGCTGACACAAATTGTACGAAAGATATATTATAGGGAATAATTTGGTTTGGTTTGTGCCTAGTTTCTAGGTTTTCTTTTCTTGTTGCAAACGAATTATAACGTTTCTGTTTTTGTTTTTTGTTTTGGGGTGAAAAAGTAGTATATGCGTTATCAATTTGATTATTATTGCTTGCTTTGTAAACTGATTCGTGTCATAACAAGATGATTGAAGATGCATTAATTCTTTGTGATAAATTAGTATATCTTCTTGTTGGGGTATCTCATTGTTTAAGGACCATACCGGAAACATATAAAAATTATTTCTCCTTTAATTGCAAGTTTCCCTTGTTTGTTTTTGGTTACAGCAAGACTATAATGCACATATATAAGTCTCATTGGACTTCATAGAAATTAGATGATAATTGCATTACGTACATTTTGAGATGGCCAAAAAATGCGGTTAGAGTGACCACTCTTGGGAGCTTGTTTTTTCGTTTTTGATAAATAATGAAATTATTCAGGATAATAACTAAATTTCTAAATAACTCTCGATTTTGATGAATTTTCGTATTTATATTCTTGATTGAGGATCTAAAAAGAAGAATTAGATCATGAAAATACATATTTTTTTTTTAGAGAGAGTACATTAAGTGGGTTAAAATGGGTGGTTAATGAGTGCTTGAACCCTATATATATTGTGCCTATAAATGGGACGTTGTGGCAAAGCTTTTTTTTCTTCAAAAATACAAAGGAAAAACTTACAAAGAAGATCCTATCCCCGAGGTGTCCCCATACTTATCCCCGCTCGGGGTTCAGCTTGCCCCTAGCCACAAACTTAAAACCAAAATGATCAAACCATAATAAATGTAAAACATAATAAGGGAAGGGACTAAACCAAATACATATATGATGCAAAACATATTGGTTTCTAAAAAATTTTGTGTAATGCGAACCGCTTGAAAGTTGTGAAAAAGAGTCATTGAGCTCATGTAATGTCTGGTCTAGCGATAGATAGAAATTTCTTTAATTAAAATCTCAGATAGAGCACCGTCATTGACCACCGGCCCCTGCCCTCCAAACAAGTATTTTATTTAACCACATAATTAAACTGAGATTAAGGCCTGAGGAGAATCATCAAATTAATGCAGACATGTTACCACCATGAATAATATGCATCTATATTCATTATTATTATTATTTATTTCTTTTTCAAGTATGTCTTGAAAGTCGTACTCTAGACAAAATAATTTTTTGTCTCGAAACAAAATGGGGAAAAAAATAATTTTGTCGGCAGCAGAGGTCGGTGTGGTAGTAGTGCCATGCATATTCAACGGATGATAAGGAAGAAAGCATGAATAAAAACAAACAAGTGTAGGGCCTTTGTAGTTTTACTCGTTCGAATCGTTACCGTATAAAAACAAACAACTCTGACACTAGATTCTATAACTTGGACTGAATGCAGGAATTATTGCACATCCTTTTTGGTAAGTAAATCTTCTCTATATATAACTCTTCTTTTGCGTAAGATGTTTTTGGAGGTCTTCGATTGAGATTTTAATAGATTTCAATTGAGATTTTCATAGATTGCAGTCCACATATTCTTCGGCGTAAATTTTATATGAATTTTAATGGAGTTTGGTAGATCTTTATCATCGTAGACTTTAATGAATTTGAGTAGACTTCCGTGGATTTTCATGAAATTTTTAATGGTCTATTTTCTTGGCCACGGTGTGGGCCTTGCTGCAGGTACAATTATAACTTTCTTACTAATGGCCTTGTCGACTAGCTTTTGGCATGCAAATTCCAGAACGCTTAAGAGCTAACGCATGAGTTGCGCATCTAGCTCAAGCAATGATAGCACATAGGTCAAGCTTATTTCGGTAGTGGTAGTCACCATGAACAGAGGAGACACAACCAAAGATCTTAGAGCTAATTTGGACACAGCATGCAAATCAAATGTTTGCCAGTCAAGTACACAATTCAGGATCCGATTAACCAAAGTAAACTGTAGATAACAAAAGCTTTGCCCTACATATATTGACGAACAGAAGTAGTATCCAGAAGCAATAGGCGAGCAACATCAAGTAGTTGGTGATGAGTGAAAGGTGTACAAGTTTGATGCATTATTCCTTGTTCCTGAAAAAAAAAAAAATTTGAGACAAGCTATGAATGACATACTCTCTGCCATTGTCAAAACGAAGAATTTTAATCTAGCCTGGAATTAGGTCGATAACATAGAATGAAAGTCACGAGCACAGGCAAAAACATCACTCTTTTGAGCCATTATATAAACCCAAGTCATCTAGGTGTACAATTATCAATCAAAGTGAAAAAGAAAAAAAACCCCACTTATTCCCACTAGTAGCAACTTTTGTAGGCTTCCAAAGCTCACAGTGAACTAGATCAAAAGCAAGCCAACTTTTATGATTACTCAAATTGAACGTACACAAGTCATATAACCCCTCTCCTTTTGCCTCTTGTCTTGAGATCTTTAAAAAAACACAGTAGGAAGGGTAGAAAGTGATAAACAAATTAATGAGTCAAGAAGTTTACTAACAGATAAAATGCTAAAACAAAGGGAATGGACAAGCAATGCATTAGACAAGGACAGTACGTACCATTTGTGCTTATGATGGTCAAGAGTCATATAATCAATTGTGTTAATTTGTATCAATGATCCAGCTGCAAGTGGAGGGAGAAGTAATGCATATAACATTAAGGTTACCAGCTTCATCGTTATTATTGGCCATTTCTCTTTTCACTTCGGTTTTTTTTTTCAGTTGAACTATTAGAAGAATTTAAAAAAAAGTAAAAACATTATCAAACCGAATTATATAAAGATATTCCAAAAATATATTACTTAAGAAACATGTTCTATGTTTTGCCCATATCCGTCGCCAAGCAAATGAGGTTGCTCACCGTATTGCTCGTTTTGCTTTACACATTGGTTCTACCCTTTTTTGGTTTGAGGAACCTCCAGATTTTATTTGTGATCTTTTATTTGAGGATTGTAACATGTAATTTTTTTACGGGTATGATCTTAGGGGGACTGGGGGGGATACTGTATATGTGGTTAGGTTCCTACTAAGGCTACTCAGTTAGTCCGACGACCAAGCCCGTATGCGTAGAGAAACTCACCTAATCCCCGACGACATGACCCAATTTTTTTGGTACTATTACTTATTCCCTATATCAATAATACTAAAGCTCTTTTCTAAAAAAAAATGAAAATCAAACAAATGAAGAAACGAAGTATGAAATGTTGGGAGAAAATAAAATGGCGAAATAGTTTGATGAATATGAATATATATAATGAATTGCAGTTTATTATTCTAATATTATATTGCAAACGGCTCAAAGTCCCACTACGGATATTAATAATCTTGAGCAAATTAGACAATTTATTTATTTATTTTTTAGCATTTAATTTGATCATTTGTCAAAGTAGTCTGTTATTATTTGATTCATCCAAAAGGATCAAAAGAGAATTCTGATATGACAAGTTTAGCTAGAGGAGAAGACAAGCTTTTTGTGAGAATGACAAAGCCTTAGCCACGTCTCTCATGATGCCAACCACAAAGCAACTCTATTTTCATTTTCGTAACTTCTTTTTTTTTTTTTTCCTTTTGGTTTAATAACAAATTGCTTTTTCTGGTAAGGAAGCACATATAGGTTTTTTTAATGTTCCTTTTTGAGAGATTAACTTATATTAATTACCTTGGAGCCTCTATCCATTCATGCTATTTGAGTTAATTAAAAGGACTCAAGAATGGATTAAGTTAACAAAAGTCCATAATCACTATGTTAAGTCATATATTATATATAAGAAGTTTAAAGCTAGTGGAATATATATATATATATATATATATATAGAGGAGATGACACACATTATACATAAGCGCTTTGGAAGGCTGAGATTGCAGCCCACTTTTACATTTATTTTCTCTTTTCAATTCAAATATTTAATAACTATCGGAATATTAATAAATTTATTTGAGGGATCCGCCACGAGGGTTCTCACTTGACATCGACTATATTATTAGACTATTTGTCTACCGACAATATATGGAAAACAAACCAGTAGTCTCCACAATATCCAGAGAAGCCCCATTGCCAGTCCCTTTCCACTTGCTTCACCACTTTCAGTTGACTGATTGAAAAACGACTTTTGTCACCCCTTGAAAATGCCCTCACTCTCCAATTCACATGCTATGCTTTTCCTTTCCTTTTTATTTTATTTTTATTTTTATTTATTTCCCAACCGTAAGAAATGTATTTTTGTTTTATTTTTAGGGTAAGCAATGCTGAGGATCAATTTAAATCGCCCAATCGTGACCTGATGAAAGCATTTGCAGGAGCAAGCGAGTATTTGAAATAATCTTGCAGCTGGACTGGATATCTTCTGAGCTCAGTGGGAATAAGCTAATAAGGAACAAATGTGTTGAGGTCGGTGGTGAAATGATTTGCCTTGAATGATATTGTCCATAATTTTGCAGCTGGGGAACATTCCTCGTTGTAAGTCCTAGAGCCGTACATTGATTTTTTTTTTTAATGTATTTTTTTTTATTAATAAAAGAGCGAGTATTCGAACTTGAGACTTCTTCCAATATTAAGAAAAGAAGTACCACTAAACTAAGAGCTCATAGGTCGTTAAGATCATACAACTCAACCATTAAAACTATTGTAGCACTTCCAATATTAGAGCGGATCCTTTATTATTTGGGCACATATATTTGTGCATTTTGAGCATTTTTTACAAAGTGATTGAAAAGTCCCTCAAGCAGTGCATTTCGAGTGCTCTTCAATCTGTAAGCATATTTGCCAATTCTTCCAAAACTGTGCCCACCCCACGTTTCATTATAGTGGGTACTTGGTAAACCCTAGCTAGTGCTCAAACGTCCTCTCCAAAAAATTGCCAACATGACTATGCGGATTAGGGTAGGACTCCACAAGCACTCGAGTTGAGGATACCCCTAACATAAAATTAGTGAGGATACATCTACGAGAAAAGTTTTTTTGGTACAGTGGAATGCACAATTCTCTCTATCTCACTTCTTAATGTTAGCAAAAATTGATCACAAGTGGATGTTTTTCAAAGGAAAACTGAAATAAAATCTTAATTAATATTTTTATATTGACAAAATATCTAGAAAGCCTCATCTCTTATTTTGCCTTACCTATATATATGCTTATTATTTAGTGTCGGTCGTCCACCTATGATTTGAGGAAAGGGGGGAATAAAAATGAGAGGATAATCTATTTATTGATGTTTTGTAGTTATTTAACTATTGACATCGACTTGCATGTGCTTTCAAATCATTAATTAATCAACGGAATTCCATCTTTCCTCGAAAACTTTACAAACTTGTGAAAGTAAAACTCCAACATTGCCTGACCTCCCCCTGAAAAAGGTCACATTGGAAAAGAATTTTGTCATTTCTTTCACAAAATAATGTAGTATGTACTTGTGTCAGATCAGCATTTTCAGTTCCAAGTTCTGCAAGTTTCAAATCCATGTGCCCCTTTGGCCAAGACCTAATTTTTATTTATTTATATAAGAAGTTTATAGTTCAAGCAGTTAAAAACATTTATCCTGCACCCGAAAGTTCTAGTTTCGATTCCCCTTCCTCAATATCATTTGTATAAGAGAATGAATTACCAAATTGGTTGCAAAGTATCATTCCACAAATTTAAGTCTGGTTTGCCTTTCCATATATCAACATGTGTCCATCAAAATGATTTAAATGCGTAATAAATATGCACTCTCTTTCTCTCTCTCTTGCCCCATGTGTTAAAGAGAGAGACTGACTTCTACCCTGGCAATAATGCCAGAGAGACCCTCCATTCCAAGGTGCCTTACGAACCTTCCCTTATATCTTCCTATCCGGCATGTCTTCTCTAATAGAAAAGGACATTAGGAGGGTCCCAATGGTAGACGAACCTTACATCATGCCTTTGTAGTTATTTCGTATAATTAGTGGGATATTATCCAACTCATTAATTTTTCACTTAATTTTTTTTTATTGAGACTGACATAAATTTTTGACTTGGATGATGAACATCCAGAGCTGATCGAGCAGCAGCTGGATTTTCTGAGCTCGGTGGGACAAAACTGTAAGTTAGTGATTGGTTTTGTCTCTATGCCACATTCTCTACAATTTGGCCGACAAGTCTTGGTTATTTACATAATTAACCGCACAATTTTCATTTCCTTAAGACTTTCTTCATGTATTATTGTTCTTTGTTGGCGAGCTTAAGGAGAAACATGTGAATACTTCCCTTCTTCCCTGCATCTCTGTTAATGGTAGTTTGACATATGTGTAGAAGTTTTTCCTTTTGTATTTTTTATGAATTATTTTTGTATATGTGTCAAACCATAACTTGCAGAAAGAAGGAGTATCTCATTCTAAGAAAGGAGGCGAGCAATATCCCACACCAAATTATTTTCAGAATGACTAAAAACTTAAATTAGTATTGGGAAACACATGTTAGGTCATTCATCAAGAAGCACCAAGCAAGTGCTTCTTTAGTAAACACTTCTAATTGCTTTTCCAATGAGCACTTGAATTTTTAATAAGAATTTTGATATCCATTTAATAAAAGTGCTTATGAGGAGAAATCCTACCAAAACAATCTCAAACCTACCCTAAGCCAATAAGATTTTCTAGAAAATAAAAAAGAAAATAATTTGCAAAGTTAGGGTTTGTAAGTAACTTGTTAGCGATAGCGATGGAAGGTTAAATACATACCTCTTTTAGCCCTTGTTTTATCTTTTT